TTATGATTTATCATTGAATTGAAATTTAACAAATCCATTACAGAGACCTACTCAATGATAGTAGAAGGTAGTGACGAGGTATTGAGGTACAATTTAAAGTCGACACCTATTATACAGCACACTTTTTCGGTTTTTAACTATACGATTCTATTCTAAATATATATTTTTTCTGATAACTTATCATAGCATTATAAAAATTAACAAAAATGTACTGCTATGTTTTTAATTTTAATTTAATTTGTCAAAGATTATTTGTTTTTTCAGTTACACTCATATTTACTTTTTGTGTTGTACTGAGTCAATAAAATGAAATAGTTTCAGTTATTATAGATAGCTGTATAGACGATAATAGTTACTCTGTCCATTTTTTAATTGTTGTACCAACATATTGGCAGAATATATGTGAGGGGATGAGAATGTTCCAGAGACAAATTATCTGAAATTAATTTCTAAACAAAATCTTAGCTGAATGTGCTCCGATTCTAATAATAATTTTAAGTACCTAAATGTAAAAATGAACTTGTTTGTGTCAAAAATTAAAAAGTCTATTATTTAAACGATTTCAAGGTATTTTGACAACTGTTCAAACAGGTTTTCCTCTCTATATTTATTGGTTTAACTGTAATAATATGCTCTTCGCGACGCACTAAACCTAGTCGGACGAATTAACATGTACCTATACTACAGACAGTTGTCATGATAGGTACGTATAGTAAATTTGCATTTGTTATTTATTGTCGTGTAGAAATAAACGGAATATTCCAAATGGGTAATACACTATAATGGTCTATAATATCAAAATTTATCAGTGTTGACCGGCGCGGCGTCTTGTAAGACGTGAGTATACATATATTATATATATATATCAATACATTGTGCACAAGTATATGTAATATGTATACACATTATGATACTATACTAATAAACTACATGATACAATTACACGAAAGCATAGTAAAAAAACAAAAATTATATAAATATGTGTGGAATATTATAGCGTCATACGTACAAAACCTTGAGATTATTTAACAATAAATAATATGAATTATGATGAATATTTTTCATTTCATCATTAAGCTGTTCCGATTCACGAACTTTATATAGTTATGTGTATACTATTGTACAAATCAAATGATATCTGGTATGCGCTAAAATAAAATCTAAACCGACATACTTTTGTATACATACAAAAGACTATTGAGGAAATCCGTCATTATTCAATAAAACATATATATCCCCAGAAAACTGGTTTGTTGCACGCATAATTGTTGAATTGTGCCAACATGGAGTAGTGGGACAATATTGTACAATACACGTCATACACTCATACGCACCATACGCTATTATAGTAGCACTGAATTAAGTTTCATATTTACGAAATATTAAATATTTCTTGACTCAAGTCAAAGTTTTTTTGTTTAATAAAATAAAAATAAAATAATGGTCTCCATTTAACTACATTATAGTATTACATTACACTGCAGTTTCACTATAGTTTGTAGTGAAGTGCGTAACTTTTATCGTTGGTAGGTCGTGGGTACCACTATCATGTATATATTATGTACGCTTTAATAGAAATTAAAACAAATAATTGATTTATTTTAATAAACGTTTGATTTTATTTATCTAACGTCGAACATGTGTTATTGGAACTTTTAATAACTCCCTGATGATTTTGAAATATTTCAAAAGAACAGAATATCATGTTAAATTATCATAACTTGTTTCATGCGGTATATTATGTACCAACGTTTTAGCCTTTGTTATTATTATAATAAACATGTTAGTTCATAGTTGTTTTTTAATAATCAACTTAAACTGGACTTCTGTTCAAAATCATTAATATAATATAATATACTTACATAAATAATTTATTCTTAGAGCGGTTCATTATCTAAAGTAGGTTATGACTGTAATAATTAATAGTACGTCGAGTAATTGTAGTTAAATGAAATTGATTAATAATCTAAATAATTACTCGTTATATACTATATACGTTATAACTTATATTATACTCGTTGAATTACGCATTTGATGGTCTGTATAGTTCCATGAAGTTATTTGAGGGAATTGACCCTCCCTAGTGGTATAATATAAGCGTACAGCCATACAAAGTATAATTTTTAACGCATGTGTACTTAGTTTTTGTCATATGGCCGACCATGGTATATCAATAGCTCTAAACAATTTTACGTAATTAATATTTATTATAAATGCATCTATATTATTAGCTAATGCATTTATTCAAATACGTAACATGTGATTGTGAAAATTGCGATTAACGTTTCTGGAAATTCCAATAAGATTTATAATAATAAAACACATTACAGATACTACAAGTAAAATAACTCTCTCAAAGTAATTAATGATTAAATGATGTATTTTGGTATTAAGTTATAATTATTATCATTATATTTTTATTTTTATTTTTATTTATTAACGAGGTACCATATACCTACACTCGATTTATCCTATATAAGGTATTTCTTTACACCTATAGTACAAATATGCTAGAGGTACCTATTCAAATTAAATAATTATAATATTATATGTATAATGTATAACCATTGAATATTGATATTTACTTACATGATTAGTATTCATAATCGTTGGTATAAATGTGTAATAAACATTCGATGTATATGAAATATGAATACTTTAAAGATATACATATAGGTATACACACTCCGCACTCTTATTGTATTAAAGAAAAATTTCTTAATTCTATTTCACTGCATCTATTACTATTATTTATTACACTATTGAGTACATAATATTAAAATACTGAATTCAATATATTAAAAAATTACTATTTTAGGTGTTAACTACTCCTAGTAATTCTATTGGAACATTAAATCCTGAAGCACATGAATTCAAGTATAAATCATTGACGGCAAATCTATCAAAGTCTGACGATGAACCAAATAAAAAAAATGCAGAAAACGGAAACAAGAATAAAGGTAAATATAATTTTTTAAAAACAAACACAAATTCTTTTGTTTGATTTATGTGTTATGAATTATGATAATTTATAATAATTTATATCTCTGTATTGTGTTAATATAAGTATTGTACTTTTATTTGGGAATAATAATCAATATTAAACCGTAAATAAAATAAAAATTATCCTGCATATAAAAATATATTTGAATCTTGTGACATTTAACATTTTAAATATTTCATTTGTGGTTTGTGAAAATGTAAAAGTTTGACAATGATTCATTGCTGCACCGCTGCTATAATACACTTTCGAAGTGAACGTAATATCGAGCTGAAAAATAATATCGACATTATCGAACGCGTAAATTATTTGATTCAAAAAATTCCGGTCAAACACAATGTTTTAGAAAAATAATCTTGAAGAAAACTTTCACCCTAAAATATGTGATAGCAAATTACGTATGCGTGGGAGACTATATTATTTCGAAGCCACGTTCTTGTAGGAAACAAAAACTACGATACGATAAGCCGAGACTTCAACCGTGTTTTTGATAGTAATTGGTTAGCGAGTACACGATTACGGACCTAAATGGCTACTCGAGTAATATTATAGCAGTTTAATTGTTTTATATTATAAAGAAATCCTATAACAAGTAACACTGGCTAAATGTAAATAGAGTGAACACATTTACACACATTATAATATGGAAATTGGTTATTTTTTTTGGGTGCATAGCAAATAACAATACAACATTAGGTGTACATTAAGACCATATTATAGGATAATGTGCTATTATATTTATATAGGTAGGTATAATTATGGTATAGGTCTAAGTTACCAAGTCCACCGGCATGATCATGATCCTTAGGTACTTTTATTAATGTTAAAAAAACGAATGATGCACATCACAGTGAAAAAATAGTAGTGAGTGGTGACTTGACAGTGACATCGACCGAAGAAAAATCTGGAGGTATAATATCACCCATTTCATAAAATACATATTCATGTAGACCAGTGTTTCCCAACCTTTTTACCACCACGGACCACTTCCACAATATTTTATAGGTCGCGGACCACCTCAATTTTACACAAACTAGGAAGACCTTTTTTTTTTTTTGCTCATTAACAAGAATACACAAAATTTATTAAAAATTTTTTATTATTTTACTGTACTATTATATATAATTATTTAATTATTAAACTTTACTAATAATTTACTTAGTGTGATTTTTGTGGCTGCATTTCTTTGACCAGTTTTTCAATTCTCGGATGAATGTTGCTAATGGCTAAACGCATGTCGTCACTTACGTCCAAGCGATTTCTCTGTTTATTTTTGATCACAAGTAGACTGGAAAATCCTTGTTCACACAAATACGTAGTTGAAAATACTACTAAATAACGTAAGGCAATTTCCCGTAGTTGAATATGTAATGTTGCCCTTCTGCACCAAAATTCCTCAAGGTTCATACCAGAATCAAACATATTTTTGCAGTCAGAGTCATTTTGCAATTTTAATAGAAAACTAAGAAAGGTACCGCGGACCACCTATGACTGGCCCACGGACCACCGGTGGTCCGCGGACCACCGGTTGGGAAACACTGATGTAGACTGTAGGTACTTACACGAGTAATACCTATCATTATTATAATATTATCGTTATTCATACTTCGTCAACCTCAAAGGAAGATCCAAAACTCGATCGTAGGGATTAGAGGAAATTAAGACTTGCAGAAAACATTATTACATATTATTTTCCTAGGATTTATACCTAACCGTCCTAACCCCTCTTATTTATGAATATAATGCGTTTACAATATTGTACATCGTGATTTATGAGCGACCGCATTTTGTATACATATATTATTACATTTGCATACTCTGTGACTCTGAGAATGCCCATTTATATTATGTTATTATTTATTTATATCCCCGTAAAGGGGCTTTTTCAGAATTCAATACTAATAAATTTAAATTTTCGTTTTCAAAAAATGGCTTTGGAAATTAATTTGATTGAAGAAGTTTTATTATCGACGAGTTAAGACCCTGTAGAAAAGGCGACTTGAACTTTGATCAATATATATATTTTTAATAAAATTACTACCTAGGTAATACATTTTAAACTTGAATGGCAATATAAATTTTACTGTAGTATTAATGTCTTATTTTTTTTTTTTAGGGGGAAGGGCCTATTTTTTATTTTGCACACCCTGTGACCCTGTCTATGATAAGCCTGCGCACAGTGCACACCTGTGATTTACATATATTTAGATTTTATAAAATTCTTAGATTTCTCCACTTAATGAGTGTCCAATAAGTAGTAACACAGAAAAATAGTAATAGTTAACAATTTGGTCTTTGACTGAATGTTTAGAGAAAAAAAGAGTGACTTAACTAATGTAAATGTATTTTTTAAATTTCTTTTTAAATGTTTCCCAATAAAACGTTCAGTTTGTCTAATATTTATCAAAGAAACAGTGCAATATTTTGGAAATATTCTTAAAATGTAAAAGCATATTAAAGGTAGCCAGATTCATATTTAAATTTTTATTCGATGAATGATATCATATTAATTAATTTAAGCACTTTTTTCGTGCGCACAAATCCTGACTTTTGAATTGACGACAATGTCTTCCACGGGTGTTGGCCTCTGGGTCGTGATACAGATCGACGCAACCGTGTGAAATCAATACGGCGGCGGTCGTACCTAATAATAAGTAATAACGCCTTTCCGCGTGCGGCACACATCGGCCGTCTGCACTGACCATGATAAGGACAACAAGGTGTGATCGGGACTTTTTGACGGTCATATTCTTCCAAAGGCAAGTGACGTAGAGTAACATAATATGGTATAATAATTTAACGGCAGTATGATAATACCGGAAAGCAAGTGATGTGTGCGCAGACTTTAACCAAAACTGGACCTTTGCGATCGTACCACGATGTTTTTTATCATATCATTGGCTACTGTAATCAACTGTTGTAGTGCCATATTGGCATATTGCATTAAATAAAATACAACTACTGGCTCTTCGCCTCTTCCGGCTCCGGCACCCCACCGTTCACAGCGACTGCGTTCTGGCGGCGAAATAGCCTGCGATGGAGAGTCGATAATATCATAATATCATATTATCACATTATTATTATCATTTTCTGATACTGAGAGAGTCGCGATAGGCGGCGATAACGGCCGCCGCCGAGTATGCAACGTTTTGCACGGTTCGTCGGCGAACGGGAAGCGCGACGCACAGATGTCGCTACCATCGCGATTTTTGTCTTCCATGGCCGCCGTGAACTCTGTGGCATGTGTTCGTGTTGTCGTCCATTTTGCAATGCTATAAATTTTCTATCGCAAACCCGCACGAATGATATCCCACTGAAATACGTTACGTCGCCACACTCGCCGTCCGATTGTTGTTGTTGTTGTTTTCCTCGTTGCGGTCCCGTCCGGGTTTTCCTCCGTTCGGCGGCGGTGTGCGCCCTTCGTCCGCCCGATTTCCCCCCGCACGCGTATTCTCGACGGACGACTCGCGGCGGCAGCTGAGTCGCACACAAAAAATCTAACCGGACCACGACGACGGACACCACATATTACGGTGATCTGTAAGTACCAGCTAGCAGTCGTCGGGTCGCCGACTGGCAAACGGCGGACAGAGTGGACCGACGAGACCGCCTCCAAGTCCGGTGCGGTTTAATAGCGACACACACACATATATATATAGCTTCGTTTGGACGTTTGGACTCCCGTGATAGTGGTCGTGTGCGTGTGTGTGAGCGCGCGTGCGTATGTGAGTGCGTGTGTGCGTGTGTGTGTGTGTACACGTTCGTGCCACCGCCGCCGTCGTCTACTGTCTAGTCATATAAGGCTACTCAGTGGAATTTGGCGTGTGTGCACATGGTTTAGCTTCTACGGCGGTGTGGACGACTAAACTCTACGGGTAAACGACAAATTAAAAATTAAAATTCTCGCGGAACCGCAGCAGCAGCACTCTACGGTCGAAAAACATGGTGTGCGCCGCGATCCGCAGTTGAGAAATAATACACCTCGCTGTCGTGGCTGTGTCGAAAACGCTACGCGCGCGCGTATCTCGCGTAACAATTCTCGTGTTCTCGACTTTCTGTCGATCGTTGCCCGTCTCGTCGTCAATACCGTCCGCCGACGGTTTCGGTTTGTTTTCCTTCTTCTGCTATAAATGTTCCTGCGCAAGGAGGCGGCCGAAACAGCAGGTAAGCGCCCGGTGACCGCGTCCTTTGCCGTAATCGTAGTACTACTCGTAAAAAAAAAAAATAATAATAATAACATTAATCTAGCCCCTCGGGGGTATATTTCGTGTTCTCGGGGCCGTGTCCGTTTCGTGCCCGGTCGCGCGCGCGTGTCACAGCGCGGCGCACGCTCTCGTGGCGCGACACGTTGGGGGGATCGTCGTACGGGAGTCCAAACGGTAATTTTTCTAAATTTCTCAACAATCGTGGTACGATATCAGCGTCATGAGTGGTGTGAGTGTGAGTGAGTGTGTGTGTATATATAATCAAATCGGTCGCCATTGGCATTCGATAGGTTCGGTGTGATAGGCGTACACTGCGTAACTGCTGGCGTGTGTATAGGTTAACCCGTCGAGAAGTCGTACTCGGCTGGCTGTGATAACCTACAAATATATATGTGTGTGTGCACCACACCGTAGGTTTTTTTTTTCGATTGCGATTTTTGCTCTCGTCCGTCGGTTCCAGTCGGTCGCCCTTTACACCACACGGGTTTCTGTATTTTACACTCAAATATTATTGCGAACCTTTACTTATAAATATTATAATCATACAATATTGTGCTACCTCAATACTTTAGTGTGTGATATCGTGTAAGTAGTCTGTACCGTTTTCATGTAGGTAGATTGTACATACTATTATTATTATTATTATTATTATTATTATTACAATTATTATTATTATTATTGCCATCACACTCGCATACTGCTGACGTTATTATATTATATAAAAGACAATCTCCGATGCTATTGTAATTACAATTTTTCGTACCGTTCGACTTTTGTGTGTCTGCTGGTAGATTATTTTTCGGAAATCAGTGGGTCAATCGTTCCCTTTCTATCGGTGTTTCACCAGCAAATCGACTGTTATTCCCCTGAAATCTGATCGTGCTGGTTGTCATTTAAATTTGTTTTTCACTTGGTCCACGCCCCTCAAAGTCTCGGGTTTTTTTGTGTTGCGTTACACACTTTGATGACTGATTTCTAAAAGTTTCATATCTTACACTTTCTTAAGATAGTAGTTTTACAACTATTTATGTTTTGTGTAAAGTATCTGAGATATTGTTATTGTGCCTGAAATCTTTCGATAACTCTATTTTGTTTTTTTTTCGGGGTTCAACTAGGTATTTCAGGAAGGATTTAAATGTTATCTTTTACAATATTCAGGTGTATTGCCTGTGACACTAAAAATAGGTTATCAGTTATTTAAATATATAAAATTTCAATTTCTCATAGAATATCTATTGTATAATTGAATTATGATGAAAAAGCTCCCATCTGTTATAAAACAATGCATAATATCCAGGGTCATACTTAAGGTCCCTTTTATCAAAATATTACCTACACTTCATAAGGTACCAATAGCCTTATTTTAAAATGCTGATGGAGCATATTTTGCTCTATAATTTCAATCTAAATGTGTACTTGAAAATCTAATATTATTTGTTGAAATTGTGTGACCAAAGCTCTAACATCAGTACTTTATTGTAATTTATACAGATAATAGTATGAAGGCATTATTTACAGCTAAATTGAAAGTTGATAGACATAATTTGTTCCAAAATATTTGAGTACTATTACAAACTCATTAAATGTAACTGCACTGATAATTAAAGCTTTTCACTGTCCTAATAAGTTAACATTACATTTAAAAAAAATGCATAGGCACTCATCAGGATTTTTGTTCCCACGTACCCGAACCCTTATAATATAATGTATTTTATATGTTACCTTCGTGTGCCCATTTATACAACAATATGATTATTTTAAATTAGGCTTTAAATATCCAATAAGGGATCACCTACACAATTCCTAGGTACTTGCTATATTTTATCTAGTTCATTGGTGTATACCTAATGTAGTATTATATTTTGTTATTAGTTGATAACCAGTGCTCAGATATTGTAGTGTATTTTGTGTCTGCTGATATTCCTGTATATTTGTTCTTTGAATATGATTTTACTGATAGGGATACCTTTTTAAATATTTCCACAATTTAAAATACAATTTTGCTTCTTGGTTTAGGATTTTAACTTAGATGTAGGTAGCAGTAGCTAATTTTTGGATTATATAAACAAGTTTTTTTTGTGATTTTGATATTGGATCAGATAGGTTAGGTAGCTGATTACAAATTATTTAGGTATTTTATGAGTTAAAGGTACCTAAATTAATGATATGATTACACATTTTATTGTGAAATAAAAGTTAAATTAATGTATTCAATTACATTTTCATGTTGCCAAGGTTTGGAATTTCAGTAAAATGTTATTTTTGAGTTAATCCCGTGTTGGCCTATTTTCTTTATTTCTACTTAATTTAAGTATTGTATTGTGATCATTTCATTAAAAATGTACCTTATTTGTTTTATATGTTATACATTTTGATGTTTGGTTAATAAACCGTCTTCACAGGATACATGTACATGAATGGGGACGTAGGGAAAATTTCAATTGGGACACATTATAGTCCCTCCGAACCACTGACTGTTTCTACTGCCACAAACACTTCTTACAGGTAAATATAAAATGTTTCAACTTTATAAATACTTTAAAATATATAGAATATTAGCAGTAAATTTAAATGCACATTATTAGAACCTAATGATTTATAAAAAAAATTCATTATGGTGTCGAAATGTTGCTAAAGTATTTTATAATCTTGTACAAATACTTGTGTAAATATATTTATTTTAAATTTATACATTGTGTAAGTGACAGTTTTTTTTATGAAAGCTTGAAATTGTTGGGGCTATGATTTTAAAGATTTTGTGTGTATGAATTTCATTTTGAACGAATTATAAGTGGGATACAACTTTTAGTTGACACATCATCTCTGATACAACCATTCATAATTCAAAATTTGATTTGTATACATTAGATATTTCTGCATAATATAAAAACATAAACATATTTGAATAAACGTTTATTTGTCATATATTCTTCAAAAAGATTATTATTTTTTATACCTAAAGCTTAATATTTATTCATTATTACCTATGTTTACTTTTTTTATAGTACATATTTGTTTTCATTCAATTTTAATATTTTACACATACCTACTATTTATTAGGTAACCTTTAATCATATTTCTTCAAGACACATTAAGTCTATTAAGTTAACAATTTCGCATAATTTCCCATGTTTTGGAATTTTTGGTACAAAAGTAATTACATATTTCATGGGTTTTATAGTACTTTAAATTCTCAGCCCCATTATCAACTCTGAATTTTGTTACAATGGATGTAATTACTACACTTTGAACCTAATGATATCAAATCATTTTCATTATGGATGCTATAGTGTAATATTATAAGTCTCAATTACTTATAGAGTTAGGTATATTATATTATACTATATTATATTTTAACACTTGTAGAGGAAAATAAATTATTATCTTTGCAGAAATCTTAGATGTCTTGATAAATTAGTTTACACCTATTGTATTGGAAAAAAGAGTTATCGACCCAGCTCTATTAACCTTTTAAAATCGGAAAAACTGAAACCCATTACACAAATGATTTTTTTAAGAAAACAGACCCGAAGTCTTCATTTTTTAAATTTTATCTGTGTTTTTGTGGTTAGTTATTAAAAACATTTCTTTTGATAGAGTTATAGTAAACTAAATGCACATTATTAGAACCTAATGATTTATAAACATTTTTCATTATGGTGTCGAAGTGTTGCTAAAGTATTTTATGATCTTATACAAAATACTTGTATAAATATATTTATTTTACATTTGTACTTTGTGTAAGTAACAATTTGTTATTATTATTTATCCATATTGGGTATTTTTGGTACAGTATAACCTCATTAATCCAGACTTTGTTTAATCCGGACAGCCGTTTATAATACGTAAATTCCGCTGGTTTATGCCGTAGATTAAAAAAAACACGAAAACGAAGCATAAAAATATGACGTAAGAAAATTTATTTTGAAATTTAATGTAGAAAAAGAAACAAGTGTTGTAAAAAGAATGCGGTTGCCTAGGTCAATCCCTTGATGATGCATTTTATCCAATAAATTTTTTTTTGAATTTATAATTTACGATTTTTGATTATTTTGTTTAATCCAGATTTTCATTATTTCGGACAACCTAGAGCCCCAATTAGTCTGAATTAATGAGGTTCTACTGTATTTATAATTTGGTATCAGAACTATGAATTAAATAAATTTGCGAGTGTGAATTTCGAATTACAAAATTTTTTCTAAATTCATTATTTATTTTGCATATTTTAGATGATCCTACATATAATAATGTTTTTATTGCATTGAAAAATTAGTGAATTTTTCCAATATTTAATTATTACAGCATTCTGGCTAACCTGAAAATAACAGATCAACAATTTTTTATAATTATTTTCTGTATTTATGTGGTTTAAGAATATTTCTATTGATAGAATTAACAGTAAACTAGATGCACATTATTAGAACCTAATAAGTTATACAAATTTTTCATTATGGTGTCGAAATGTTGCTAAAGTATTTTATAATCTTATACAAAATATTTATATAAATATATTTTTTTTACGTTTATACCTTGTATAAGTGACAAATTGTTTTTATTATCTATTGATACTGGATATTTTTGGTATTTATTTCAAAACCACGAATTCAATAATATTGTCAGAATTTCAAATTACAAAGTCTTGTTCTAAATTCATTGTTTATTTTGCATATTTTGGACATGCCTACACATTAATACATAATAATAGGTTTTTATTGCGTGGGTAAGTAAGCAAATTTGTCCAATAGTATACATTCTGGTTTTTGCACCTATATATTTATTTTCTGTAGTTAATTCAATTTTGTTGTTAATTCAGTAATAACTATTGATTGGCATTTGACATGTTTTGAAAACAAAAGTGAAATAAATTATTTTTGGGTTTGACAATTATTAGTAAGTATCTAATAGACTCAATTATTTTGTGATAACCATCCCAGTTTTGTCATAGTAAGACAAATGTTATAAACAAAATAGGTAGATACATGGTATAACCAAAGTATAGGTTGATACTTGTTTCTCAAATTAAGTTTAAATAGATCATTTGACAACTATTTAAACCCATATTAACCTGAATAATAAAAAGTGAAAATTTAAATATTCGAATGTTCAATTGGTATTCCTTTGTGTAAGCGCTCAGCACCCAAAACCCGAATAAATGTTTTGAATACTAAGTTTTACTTATTTAATTTAATAATAAAATAACAAACTTATAATTTGTAACTTAAATTTTTATGGAATCTATAAATATGTCATCTTCAAAAAGTATTATAAGTTTATGATAAATTAGGTAGATACTTACCTTTAATCATTAATGTCAGTGATATACCTACCAATATAGGATGCTATACTCCTCACCTTCAGATTAGTTGCATTAGGGTTGATGGTTTTTTTTAAAACCGTTTTTTATTGGTGTACCACTTATTGCTTAAATACTGTTAAAACATACCTAATATCATGGCTACACGTAATGCTTTGAGTAAGACATTCAGGCTTTCGAGCTATGTATTCAGGTATCCACAAAGAATACAAAAGAATCCTGCTTTTGAAAAAAAAGGTGATCTGTGCCATTGTATTCTATCAAAAAAGATTTATACTGTACCTAAATCGTCATAGTTAAAAGTTTATGGAATGGTTATTTTAGAAACATAATTGCGACCGTCGCATTGACTCCTCGTTCATGTATATTATAATATAAGTATATACTAATTGGGTATAAAAATATGTATAAAATATAGTATACAATAATAAGTAGAGCTAGGATTTTGGTGACATGCATTTTTTCTCTAAGTGCTATTCAGTTCTAACAAGCATTTTTCGTGTCAAATGCATTTTATTGTATTTTTACAAATATTACATTCATTTTGTGTATTTAAACTAATTTTTGTTTATTTTAAGTTTTTTTAATATTTGTTGTATAGGTAACCTCAATTAGTACCTATAGTGGCCCTTATAAAAATAGTACCTTTGAACTTATATCGACAACATATCATAATTTTATCTCTGTTATACCCGTTTTTGATAAAATTATTGTCACCTGTCGGCAAATTTAGAAAATTAAAATTTTATTAATAAAATAATATTTGTTTAATTTACTTCTTAAAACAAATTTTTGCCTTTTTTGTGTAATATAAAAAATGAATAAATTATAATTAATAATAATATTTATTTGAAAATTAAAGTTTTAGAGTTTTCGGGTCATTTTTAGGTCATTAAAATCCTAACTCTACTGATAAGGTAAAAAAATCACTGAGAATGTAGCTCCTGAAACGGGCGTAATTTGGGGGGGGGGGCACGGTGTGCAACAGTATCACTAACTTAAAAAAAACAATTGGCCCGCCATTAAACTTATACATTATTATTTCATATATAGGTAATATAAATAAAATATATTTTTTTTCAAGTTTTTGTACATTTTTGGTTTATCAAGTGTATTGATTATACCTTATTTGCCTTTTTTTTAATAATAGTGAAATTTCTTTAAGTGGTTTCTTTAATTGCTTATAAGCTTTTAATTCTTTTTGAATTGCTAGCTGCTTAAAAGTTGCATTAGTCGTTATGAGTTTCAATTAGAATTACAAAATAGAAGGAAAGAATATTTACATAGGTTACCTAAATTTATATATATAAATATATTCTTTTTAATGGCCTGCCTAAAATTTTGTGCACACCCAGAAAAAAAACTGAAATGATGCCCCTGTTCTGAAAGATGGAAGTATTAATAAATATATAAATAATAAATACCATAATAAAGATCTTTTGCACAAAAATATTTGTTTAATTTATTGTAGAGTAAGTACCTTTTATGCCTGACTGCCTTACTTGATATTTTAAAGCAGATTTGCCCAAAAATTATAGATAACCAAACTGCCCAAGAGTATTTCAATTTTCTAGTTTTACTATATAGTTTGATGGAAAAAAAATGGTTTTGAATCACAATTTTAATGTTGGAATTATTGATAATATATAAAATCATTTGTTATAAATTTTAGTTCCATAAATGGAAGTTATGAAGTGTCGGCATCGGATAGTAGAAGTGGTACAGTAATTTTAACTGGAAAAAATAGCACAATGGTTAACGCTGAGACTTCTACTGAAAATATGCCATCGCAATCAGTAGAACAACTCAAACAACTTTTATCAAATCAGTTAGAATATTATTTTTCAAGGTAAAATTATGTTCTACAGTTTTTATAAACTATATATTACTATTATTTTTACTTTTTAAAACAATTATGTACAACTATCAATATTACTTAAAATTTATTAAATAGAGAAAATTTGGCAAATGATGCATACTTATTGTCACAAATGGACAATGACCAATATGTTCCAATATGGACAGTTGCCAATTTTAATCAAGTAAAAAAATTGACTAAAGACATTAAGCTGATTACTGAAGTATTGAGAGGTAAATTTTGTTTTTAATATTTTTAATCTTATAGTAATTAACAATATTCCTTTATTAGAGTCACCAAATGTGCAAGTTGATGATGAAGGATTAAAAGTCCGTCCAAATCACAAACGTTGTATTGTTATTTTGCGTGAAATTCCTCAAACTACTCCAATTGAAGACATTAAGGTTTGTTGTCAGAAGGCTTATTCTGTCATTCTTTTTAAACTCATTTATTGTTTTTGATCACAGGGATTATTTGCTGGTGAATCATGTCCTAAAATGATATCATGCGAGTTTGCTCATAATAATTCATGGTATATTACTTTTGAAAATGATGAAGATGCACAAAGAGCATTTTTGTATCTTCGTGAAGAGGTTAAAGAATTTCAGGTTGGTAAACATTTATTTGTAAAAAAAGAATATATTATTATTAGTACCTATATTATTATGAATCATTTTTGTCATTGATTATACCTAAACACATGCATTTGATATTCTTTCAATATTTTGTTGATAAAAATGTTCTTTATCAAATAACTTAATTATAAAATAACCAATGAATTCTCAAAAAATACAATGTAAGTTAGAAAAAAAAATGAATATAATAATGTTATAGTAATTTTTTAAGTACTTAAATTATTGAAAATTATCTTATGCATTATATTATAACTGACAACAAAAATTAATCTGATACACTAAATATCAGATGTATACTCAACGTCTACATAAATAGTTTATTATTAAGTTACTTGTGATGGTAATTTATCGCGTTTTATATTCTTCACCCTTAGAGTGAAATTGGCTTAAATATACACCGGGATATTACAGTATCCACATGCTGTGGGTTTATGTATAAGCTGTGTTAGTTTGTATATGTGTAAATATTAAAGTATATCATCCAAGTATTGTAATTTATAAGTAAAATTTCTGAACTGATATTTTTGTTATGTAGCAATTGACTATTTAACGATTAAGTGTTATTTTTGTAATGGAATTATCATGTGTTTTATTTAAATTGAAAATTAATGTGTGGCAAAATCTGTTAAGGGGGCAAAAACATTACCTGTTTTAAAAAGTTATTTAGGCATTTTATACAGCAATTTGATTTGAGCTGTGTTACTGTATGAGCAGTGAATGAATGTTAGTGTATAATTCGTAAAATTTGTTATCGAGAACTAGACACGGATGGCTCAACACCCGCACATAGATTTCCAAACGTTATAGGCACATGTCAATGATACAAATTTTATCATATATGCACCATGATATTCAAATGACAAAATTGAGAGACCTGACTTCGACGGATTTTAATTGTGAAAATGGATATTAATTAGTCGTTGTGTTTAGAGAGTGGTCAAAGGGATTTATTTTATTTATTTAAATTCTCTTTATTTAATTTATTTAAAGATATCGACAATTCTAAACATAAGATTTTGGTATTTTGTATATTTAAGAATGCAATTCATTTTTGTAACTATGTATAATATCCACTGTATGCTTTAGTAGAGTTGTTGAAGATTTTCAATTAGTTTTCAAAATTGAAATCCGTCAAATCCAAGGCCTATGGTTATGTCTACCTTTTGCCCTGTTTCATATGATTATTTGTAACTGGTCCAGCCCCCTTAATAATTTCATCTTGTTGATTGCCATTATTTAGTATTATGTCGTATTGACAACATGGTTAAGCTACAGTGAAATTTTTGAAAAAAATATACTTCTATTGTAAATGAATTACTGTTTAAACTCTAAAGTAATGTAACTTGACCAAATAAAAAAAAGTAACTTAAGAATGATAGTACTGGTAAGCCAGTGGCGTATTACTCGGAGTTAACCTATTCTGGAATTTTGCAATTATACCATGTTGTTCATATCATGTTCCAAACTTTTTAAAGAAAAACTATATCAAAATTAGATAAATATCAATGGAATAATCCAAGGTCCCTTGATTCACAAACTTCAAAGTTTCTCAAATTCTCATAGTAGCAAAAATATGAAAAAAAAAACAGTACATACAGATAGTAATTTAAATAATAATTTAATCATAGCAAGGGCTATGGTACTCCGATACTATCAATTTTGAATAAATTTATTTTGTATTTTTTTCAAACCTTTTAGGTGTTTTGAATTCCTGTTTTAACATCTATTCTATTTTAAAAAAACTGCAAATTAACAATTATATGTTTAAAATGTGTACATTTAAACTTCATTCTGTTAAATAAAAAATAATTTGGTGCTTATGATGATAATTATTTACACTTTTATGAATTTAAGTGATTGTTTATTACATGAACTACCAACAGAAGCATTGTTCTTATGACTAAATGTGTATTAATCATAATTAATTAAACAGTTTTTCTGATTTACATTCAGTATAAGTTTTATCTTCTGTTTCGATGGTCTACTTGACCATGTTAATACAAATACTAATACTTAAAGTATTACATTAAATTTTTATTTTTGACAATTTTTGAATGCTTGTGAAGTAGATATTATTAGTTTATAAAAAAAAAATGTATGCTCATGATGATAATATTTCACACAATATGAATTATAGTGATTTTTTATTACATGCACTACCAACTGAAGTATTACTTGGAATTTTTATTTATTTATGTTCTAGCAAATTATCAGGTTAGTTTTGAAATCGATTATATTTGTGAACAATAATTAAATGCTTATAATGATAATTATTCACAATTTAATGAATTTTTAGTGATTGTTTATTACATGCACTACCAACTGAAGTATTAATTTATTCTAACAAATTGTCTGGATAGTTTTGAAACTGAGTCTATTTATTGAAAATAATGTAATGCCTATGATGATAATTTTTCACACTTTTATGAATTTTAGTGATTGTTTATTACATGCACTACCAACTGAGGTATTATTTTGAATTTGAATTTATGTTCTATGAAATTGTCTCAATAGTTTTGAAATCAATAATATTTGCAAACAATAATTTAATTCTTATGATGATAATTATTCACAATTTAATGAATTTTTAGTGATTGTTTATTACATGCACTACCAACTGAAGTATTAATTTATTCTAACAAATTGTCTGGATAGTTTTGAAACTGAGTCTATTTATTGAAAATAATGTAATGCCTATGATGATAATTTTTCACACTTTTATGAATTTTAGTGATTGTTTATTACATGCACTACCAACTGAGGTATTATTTTGAATTTGAATTTATGTTCTATGAAATTGTCTCAATAGTTTTGAAATCAATAATATTTGCAAACAATAATTTAATTCTTATGATGATAATTATTCACAATTTAATGAATTTTTAGTGATTGTTTATTACATGCACTACCAACTGAAGTATTAATTTATTCTAACAAATTGTCTGGATAGTTTTGAAACTGAGTCTATTTATTGAAAATAATGTAATGCCTATGATGATAATTTTTCACACTTTTATGAATTTTAGTGATTGTTTATTACATGCACTACCAACTGAGGTATTATTTTGAATTTGAATTTATGTTCTATGAAATTGTCTCAATAGTTTTGAAATCAATAATATTTGCAAACAATAATTTAATTCTTATGATGATAATTATTCACAATTTAATGAATTTTTAGTGATTGTTTATTACATGCACTACCAACTGAAGTATTAATTTATTCTAACAAATTGTCTGGATAGTTTTGAAACTGAGTCTATTTATTGAAAATAATGTAATGCCTATGATGATAATTTTTCACACTTTTATGAATTTTAGTGATTGTTTATTACATGCACTACCAACTGAGGTATTATTTTGAATTTGAATTTATGTTCTATGAAATTGTCTCAATAGTTTTGAAATCAATAATATTTGCAAACAATAATTTAATTCTTATGATGATAATTATTCACAATTTAATGAATTTTTAGTGATTGTTTATTACATGCACTACCAACTGAAGTATTAATTTATTCTAACAAATTATCTGGATAGTTTTGAAACTGAGTCTATTTATTGAAAATAATGTAATGCCTATGATGATAATTTTTCACACTTTAATGAATTTTAGTGATTGTTTATTACATGCACTACCAACTGAGGTATTATTTTCAATTAAATTTTGTTCTTACAAATTGTCAGGGTGTTGAAGGTTTGCTTGAAGATTCAATTTTCATTGTGTCTATATAAAATAATTCTGTCTATTATGATATAATATAATATTATGTTACTATAGTAGTAGAATATTTTGTTATGTTTGCTTTTCAAACTAATATTTTAAATAAAAAGTTGTGATAACAATTATTCAGTTAAAAGATTAATTGTTTTGTTTTTTCTACTGAATTAAATTATTAGTGTTTATAGAAGATAATTATGTGTGAGGATTTAAGAGAAACAATTTCTTTTTTGTAGTGCACTTAAGTCTGAGCTGAAATTTATTTTTGAGTTGGTAGCAAGCTAATCATAAATGTATTTTTAATTTTTGGATTTTAAACTGTGGTTAAGGATAAAAAAAATGTCCATGATGTTAATTTTTTACGTTTTACAAATATAAGTGATAGTATATTGTTTATCACTATGTATTCCCATCTAAAGCTTGGATAGTATACTATAGTATAGGTGTTTAAATATTTTATTCCAAATTAAGCATTTGCATTTAATAAAGATTACTACTGTTTAATTCTCCTCTTATATATATTTGATAGATTTTTGTATAATTTGGGTAAGATAGTGTTAAACATACAGTTTATATGGACTGTCAATATATATAGTTTAATAATGTTCTTAGATATAAATTATTCATTTTTAAATTTAATTACTTTAGGGTCGACCTATAATGGCACGTATCAAAGCGAAGCCAATGAATCGCATGGCTGCACCAATATCACCTGGCGCTGTTGCTGGAATTCCGGGTATCAAAACAGTTAATGGTTTTAGAACTCCGCCAATGCAAGCTCAACCTATCAATCCATATATAGATCAAGGTCCAGGTGTCACACAATCGGGACCTCCCGCACCACCCCCTCAACATCCTCAAGCTGCCAGATTGTTTTATACAAATGGAGGTCCAGCTCAATATGCTCCAGTCAATTATGCTGCTGCTAATCTGCAAGTATATGTAAGTGTTTCAAAGTATTTTATCTTTTAAATTATTTTCTAGGAAAATATGATTGTTTTTGAATAGTTTTTTGGTTAGAATATTTATGTTGAATGTTATTAATAAGTTACAGCAGCAGCAACAGTCTCCATATTATCCTACAAATATGATTCAACATTGGGCTCATCCTGCGACAGGCGCCTATTACACAACTGATCTTAGTGGCATATTTTCTGTGAATGGATTGGCTCCTCAAGGAGCTTTTACTAAACCTCAGAATTCAAGATATAATGTTTCACGGGCACCGTAAGTTTGATTATAGTAATCTACTTATTAATAACATTATAATTATAATTTTTTTTGCAATATTTATACATTTAAATGTATTTCTTATAGTGGTCGAACCAATGGAAAAATGCGTCATAATTCTGTTGGTGGTAGTGAATATTACCGAAGTTCAGCTTCGGATAGTGGTTTACCATCTCGTCCTGGAAGTTACACATCAAATGGAAGTCTAACTAAGTCATCTAGTAGTAGCGGATCATTGCATATTTCCAATGCAACCAGAAACTATGTTGACAATCAAGATTCAACTGTAGTTGATAGACAGTCTAGTGGAACAATCAACATCCCAAAAGATCCTACAACATTGCCACCAAGGTATTCATATTCTTTTAACATTGATATTTTATTCATCTAAATAGAAAATACTAATATTTTGAGCAACATTTATCAATTGATTTTAAATTATTACTTAAATTTTTTTTCTTGTACAGATATAGGCGAAGGAAGAAAGACGAAGAAGTAGGACCAGAAGTAGTAACCACAGGTACTATACCTCAGCCACCAACTGGTAGTTTTGATTTGGCTGCTGATGCGTTCCCTCCGTTACCACCTCAAGTTGTGTCTATACCACACCAATCACCAACTTCATTGCCCCATGACCAGTTATCACCTCGTATTAACATTGATCCTAGGTAATTATTAAAATGTATAGTTAGAAACTTAAATCAATTTTGTATAAATCAAGTCAACTGTTAATTTTTTATCCTTTTTTTTTTATAATAAACTGGGATATTTTGTTTAAAATAGATAGCTATTGAGTTATTTTATGTTGTACTGAGAACTTAAAACCTTTTTTAAAGTTCTATCTTATGTAAGTAACTCAATTTATATTTAAAAATTGATTTCCCTTTACGACAACAACAATTTTCAAAAATAGAGAAGAAAAATTATTATAAATTTGTGGTGATAAATTATTAAGTTAAAGGCAACCTAATATGGGGTAAGGTTAAAAAATAAATTTTTTTTTAGTGGGATTTCTTTTTTTATTACTAAGTTTGTTTGTTTGTTATAATATTATATTATACTTCTGGTTATACTAGCTGTACTATTATTGACTTTTTGGATTTACAGGATTTCTGTAATTTCAACTTCGAGTATTTCAACAGTACTGTCTGAACCCTCTGTATCTAAGACTGATGATGATATGGACCTAACTGTGAATTCAGAGAGTCTACCAAATGGTTTACAAACAGTGCCTCCTGTTGGGTCTGTACCTGTGACTGCAATTGTTGATGACATATCAAATATGTCTCTGAGCTCTATTAATAATTTGCACCCAAAGGTATTTGTTAATCCTAATCTTGTATTAATGTTTTAATAATAGACTAAAATTGTTGATTTTATATTGTTTTATTATAGGTTCAGGATATTGTTACGACTTCGAATTCTATAATAAATCCTACGGATAAGACTGTAATGCCAGCGAAATCTGACATGCCACCTACTACGCCTAAAGCCAATGGTACATCTCTTAATACTAAACCAACTGTACCAAATCATAAGGCTGCTTTGCCATCACAATGTGCTTGTGTCATACCACAACCACCTGCTACATTTTCTGCTGATATGGCCAACAACAATCCTGTTCTTAATGGGAATGGTTCTCCAAATATTGGTCATAAACTAAGTTATGCACAAGTAGCACAGCATCACAAAGAAAGGAATGAGAGCCATATCCCTACCATTATCACATTTGGGCAATCTCCTATTGTAGAGGAAGAAAAAAAAGATGAAACCATACCTGTTGTGATTCCCCAACAATCTAAACAATCAAACCTTACAGCAGGTATAGTTACCACATTTTTAATATAAATTTGATTCAAATGGAGTTACTTAAATCTAAAGTGATATATTATATTTCTAAGCATCCATCATGTCTTTACTACACCTCATATTCTTTTTTAGCTTAATATATACTATGTAGAATTCATAAATTTATTAAGATCTAATTTAAAATTGTTTTTTAGACAAGTTATTGTTTTTTATTTGTGCAGATAGATTTAATAATAAGCTATTAACTATAAGTAGTAATTAATATTCAAATTTAAATCTTTATAATTCTCGTAATAATTAATCTATGTGTTCTTGATATTGATTTAATTATATTCATTTCAGAGGGCCTTCAAACAAATCGGTCTGGTAAAGGACACAGAACAGCAAATAGTGAACGGGGAACAATACCCAGGAAAGGATCATCAAAATTCAATCGTACTAAGTCTCCTAAGTAAAATGTAGATAAGGCCAGAGTATTAGTTGTGACTCAACTTATAAATAACGGTTCTGTAAGTATTAAAATCATTTTGACCATCTCAATTTAGTTTTAAAATATTTTTCCATCACTTAAACTTGAAGTGTTTGGTCCTTCAGTAAAATCTTTTCTTAAATTAACCATACATAATACAGAGTGCTTGATTTGGAAAAAAATTAAAAAGGGTACTCAACGGATGTTGAATGAAAGAATGATGTTCTGCACAAAATTAATCGTCACATTACTGTGAGTGGTTTGCACCCTCCCAGCAACAATTTCACCAGAACATTATTAAATTTGTTTACATATGTTTAAAGAAAACACTTATTTTTGAATTATCTTTTTAAAAGCATAAAATCAAAAAACTATGCATTAAACAAACAAATACATGTTCTTATAAACAATCCTTGTTTTTGTTTTTTGCATAGATCTAAAGTTAACTCCATTTTATAAACTCATATCATGGCAAATTGTACGCTCTGAATAATTCATTTAACTCTGTTAAAAATATTTTTAAATGCTCATAGCTTGCTTAAAAATTCTAATCTAAGACACAAAAAGGTCTACTGGATAATATTTTTGCTTTTAAATTTTATAATAAGTCTATGCTCAATATGCTCTTCTATTATACATACCTGAGTTGAATGGATTATTCACACTACAATTTGCCATGTTAAGCATTTGTAAAACTACGACTGCGCTTGCAGGTGCTTCCTCTGCATAACAATATTTCGTATCACTATATTTAATAGTTTTAAAGAATTTTAACAATCAATTTTGTTGAAGGGTTTTTCGTAGGTACAATGGCTTTTAGACTATTTTACATTTAAAAAACTGAAAATTTACTAATTCACTAGTAAATATTCCTTTCCGGAGGTTGTTTCAAAAAAATAGAAGGGCTTTATTACTACGTGCCCCCAAATCAAGCACTGAAAATATTGTTAATTCCTTAGCACCTACATTTTTATAAAAAGATGTAAGATAAGACAATTAAAAACAATTTAGTATCATGTAAATATTTTTATTCCCATATCATCAATTAAATATATTATCATGTTTATTTTTTAGTCACAACCAAACTCCTATATTGTGTACATTTATTATAATCAACTTAACTTAAAAGCACGAGGTCATTTATGGTTAATTTTTCAGTATAAAAACAATTCACTACAAGTATGGCAAATAAGTGGAAGGATCCGGACAGTATCGACACACAAATTGTAACATTGTTTTATGCTTAAATTGATAGGCTTAAAACAACAGTGATAGATAAATATATCCCCGTCCTACTGTCATTATATTCTAATCAATTTGTCCAAATTATTATGTTTATTGTTAGTTTTTTTACATAAGTCTAATATCTTATGATTGTTTCCTTTTATGAAAAACAAAAAATGCATAAAACAAAACAACTGAAACAAAACTCCTATATAGATATATTATATTCATATATATTTATGTTTATGTATATATTAAAAGATTTAAATAACATAACTGTGATAAAAATTATACATTAACATGCATTAGTTTATATTTGTATGTCATATATTTATATATGTATATATGTGTGTGTGTATATATATATATATATATATATATAAATATCAATTTGAATTATTTGTAATCATAATTTGCATTGACATAGCATAATTATGAATTACTTTGAATATTAACAAGTAACTATTATGTTTCAACTTAATTTATCATTAATTTCCAATTATGTTATTACATTTTAGTAAGCTTGTAATATTCTTAACCTCAAGTTATCAGTTGCATTGATATTTATTTTTTGACATTATTTAATAAATGTTATTATAAGTACTTATACATTTTTTATATGTATAATAAAAAAAATTGTGAGTATTGACTGATTGGATGTGAACAAAATTTAAAAGCTTGAAGTTATTACAAAGAGGGGTTTGAATTTTCTTTATGTTTGCTTATCACAGTGTTGTTATATATTTCATTAATTGTTTAGTTCAGATGATTTTTAAATTACACAATGCTTACAAACAAGTATATTTCTATTATTTATACTTATAAGCAATGTTGTTTTGTTTTGTCTTTTATTTTAACATTACCATGCGAGTAATTTTATAAACATTTTAATGTATGCAATATTATTTGTATTTCACACTAAATTATATTAATTTTTATTGATTGTATTATTTTAGATGAAAAAATGTTAAACTATCCCATGAAATGATATGATACATTTGTCACCCACATCCGTTAATCGACCAATTTTATTTATTTTTTTGTTTTTTTTTTTTTACATTCTTATTTAACTTTTTTGTTTTTAGTTTAATCCTTTATTGATATTTATAAAAAAAAATATGAAATAGAAATGAACGAGTTCTAGCAATATAATAGAACAATGTTACAATATTATGATAAAACGTAATAAGAGGAGGACATCAGGTTTTTTTTTAAGTAAAATTTAATTTATAATTTTATACCTCTTAAATTTCATCTGAAAATGTTTTCAAATTTAAATGAAAGATAAAATAATAAAAAAAATATGTTAAAACTAATTTATAGTTAGTAGACTAGATTTTTTTTAATTTTTACTGAGGCCATGATTGCAAATGGCCAACAATACAATTTAATAAATTGAATTCAATTGTATAGAATATAGTTATCTTATATAATATAATGTAGTTAAATGTAAATTATTTGATGAGAGTCATCTGTTTGGGTTTTTCTGTCTTATTATTCTATACTATACTTACATCATTTTAACGCAATACATTTTGCATACTTAAAACAACAAGTTTAAAATCAATCAACTTCAGATTAAAATAACCCCAAAAAATGAATTTAAATTGTTAAACAAGTCATAATTCAAAATTAGCTTGATTTTAATTTTTACTTGGTTGTTTTTGCCCAATTAGCACAAACATTTAACGAAAATGTTCTAATCCAAATCTAACATCAGTCTTCAAGAATGATTTTCAAATGAATTCTGTATGCGAGTATTTGTTTTAAAATATGTTAAATGAGTCCATAACTACTTTATTCATTTGGTTTCTTTTTATTACTAACTTTTTGGGGTATTCATCGAGTCATAAATGTTTGTTTTAGGATAATTTCAAAACTGTATACTGGTCTGAAAAATATCTTCAAATCAAAAAACGTTTTGCATAATTTGCCTTTTTAGTTACCATAATATTTGTCATTTAAATTTGCTAACATTTAAACATAATTTAAAAATAAAAACACTTAATAAATTGAATATAAAATTATCTGGTGTATATATTATGTGTGTGCTCTAAAATAGTTGCCACTGGAGATTCTATTCATTTTCATTGTTCAATGAAAAACTAAAAACAACAATATATTATTATTATTATTATTATTATTATTATTATTAATTTATTATTATTATTTTGTTTATTGTTACATAGTGGTTGATACATTTCGCCAGTGTATTGTAATGGCCATATATGTGTTATGTTTGTTGTTTATTGTTTTAAAAATAGAGTAGGTATATGGCTTAAATAAAATATATAATATGAAAAAATAAGAAAAAAGAGCTCATAATGGAAGCCCCATTAAGTATTGTTTGTTTGTTTTATCTTTTTTGTTTTTAGTTGTTTAATTATTTTGGGTTATATGTGTTATTTATAATCTTCATTTTGAATGTCTCGATATTGAATATTATTAAAATTTTACATTTCAAGAACATTTTAAAATGTAATTAGTTGGAAGGATACTGGGATGACATTTTTTCTTTTGACGAAATGTATATTTTTTTATTAATCATGTATATACTTGTTATTTTTTTTTAAATACCTAAATAGCTAAATAATTAACATATATAAATATTTAAGTGGAATTAGGAAATAATTTCCCTTAGTACTAGTCACGGGAGGCTAATATTGATAAATATATATTTATACATACATGTCTATACAATGTGTGTTATCTTATGGTTTATTTATTAACTGATTTTCCAATCATTAATTATCTGATTTTTATTTCCTTAAAGAAAACAATTATGTAAGATATTATTGAATATTATTGCAGACCTATAATTGAACCATAATATTTAATTAATACAAAATGTAGAATAAATTATATCATAGTTTGTTTAAATTACTGTAATTGTAATATACCCTTTAAAAATGATATCTTATTAAGCATAAATAACTGCCCTGGTAATTCAATTTTTTTATGGTCTTATGACTTCAATCGATACATTTGAGTCTTTATCATTACCATTAATAATGATTACAAATGTTAATACAAGCGCACAGTGTTTTAATACAATTTCAAAGATTTCTTGTAGTGTGGTTTGCTTGATTGGAAAATTAGAAATTCTGTATAACTTGATGGCTATCATTCAATTTCTATCATTTTTTTTTGGGCCATGCCCTGACACAATTTGTATATCAAAATATGTATTAATGTATATTCCTTCCTAGTCGAAGGAAACTTAAATAAAATAAAAAAATAAAAAAAATGATTAATTACTTTATAATATTTTTTTAATTTTAATTAACAGAAGGATTTACAACAGTTTGAAATCATAGTTTTTGTTTTGTTGAATTTTTATTTTCTTTAGGTGTCAAATGTATATTCTTTTATAGTCATTGAGAATTATTTGCAAAAATAAATGAATATCGAAGCTCAATAGTATTAAATTATTATTTCTTTTACTTGCCTTGATGACTTGTTTTTAAATTATTTAGTTCCATTATTTGTTGTAAATGTTTTGTTTTGTAATTTAAGTGAAATTTACTAATATATATTCAATTTATTTATAAATATATAATATTTTTAAAAGTATACTCTTTGTTATCATTATACTATGGTAATCAAAAATATTAATTCCCAAGGTAGACTACTTCATTAATAATATTTAAGCCTATGGTGCATACTACATCATAAACCTAGTATCTATTTCATAAAGTGGTTTTCTAATTAAATATCATTTTCGTTTTAGCATATTATCATTATTATAAACGACTATTGACATTACCTATTTAGTATTTATGTAGGCCTTCCAGGTTTTTATATTATATAGAGTTA